TTTGTTCCATCCAGATGTTTGTTCTGTGGTTTGTTCCGTCCAGATGTTTGCTCTGTCCAGATGTTTGTTCCGTCCAGATGTTTGAAGGTGTTTCTTGTGTCTGCAGCTGACGGTGGATGAACTGAACGCTCTGCCTCGTATCCAGACGATGGCCAATCAGATGGTCAGCATCAGTGTGTCGGATGATGTAAGTGTCTCTGATTGGTCCTCCTCGCTGCCACATCTGGTTCCGTGTGTCACAGTTGGTGTTTTCCTGCAGGGACAGATCTTATTGGGCGATAAAGGCGTCCGGCTGGCGAGCACCAACATCATGGCGGCCAACGGCATCATCCACATGATTGACGGGCTGCTGTTCCCGCCCTCCATTCTGCCCATCCTCCCCCACCGCTGTGATGTCACCGAGAGCAAAATCACCGTGGTGAGTGGGGGGCGGAGCCACAGCAGCCTCACAGCAAACAAACAAACTAACATGACAGAATGAACGCACAAAGACTCGCTCACAAAAATCAGTGATGCTAACAGTGAAGCTAACAGTAAATCTAACATTAAAGCTAACAGTAAATCTAACAGCACAGCTAGCTGGGAAGCTAACAGTAAGTTAATTAGGATGCTAACATTCAGCTAACACTGAATCTAACAGTACAGCTAAGACTGATGCTGACTGCAAAGCTAAAAGTGAGCTTTAGCCAAACTAAAGTGAAGCTAACAGTTTATCTAACAGCCAAACTAAAGTGAAGCTAACAGTTAAACTCACAGTAAAAGCTAACAGTAAGTCTAATAATGAGGCTAGAGGGTAAGTCAACAGTGCAGCTAACAGTGAAGCTAACAGTAAATATAACAGGGAAGCTAACAGTGAAACGAACATTAAATCTACCAGGGAAGCTGACAGTAAGCTAGCAGTGAAGCTAACAGTAAGCCGACAGTAAGCTAACAGTGAAGCTAACAGTAAGCCAACTATGACGCTAACAGTAAGCTAACTGTGAAGCTAACAGTTAGCTAACTATGAAGCTAACAGTAAGCTAACAGTGAGCTAGCAGTGAAGCTAACAGTAAGCTAACTGTGAAACTAACAGTAAGCTAACGGTGAGCTAACTGTGAAGACTGTATATTTGTGTTTCCAGGGTCCTTGTGTTCACTGCAGCTACCTGTATGAGACTCAGTGTCCAGACGGCAGCGTTGAAATGGTAAAAAACAACTTTATTATTAATGTTTCTGCAGCATCTCTGAACCATAGAACTGGCACTTAACCACATATTAGCATTTTTGACCCATCAGATTTCCAGAAGACCTTTAATAAATCTACCAAAGAACCAACATTCCTGATTGTTTCTTGTGACAAAGATTCATGTTTCAGTGATTCTATCTCAGAGAACTCAGCCTGACATGATGAACAGCGTCTTTAGCGGGTGGAAGCTCTGTCGGCAGTTGTTTACCTGTTGTTCTGCTCTGGGCTGACGGCTGATCTGGTGGAGTTAGCATCCCGTCAGCAGCCAGTTCAGGTGTGTTTCCTGTTTGTCCAGGACAGTCACCAGGTCGGCTGTGAATACGTCCAGTCTCCTCTTCACTCGGCACTCAGCAAAGGCTGCGCTAAGTTCTGCAACGCCACCAAACAGGTGAGAAAACCGCATCAGCAGCGTCTTCACCTGATGGATCCTCCAGGACAGAAGGCCGGCGCCAGACCGTGGTTCTGACCTGTTCTCACCTGTGTGTCCTTCAGGTGGCCGAGTGTTGCAGAGGGTTCTTCGGTCCCGACTGTAAGCCCTGCATCGGAGGATTCCAGCACCCCTGCTACGACAAAGGAACTGTAAGGAACCACTGAGAACATCAAGACCTTCAGAGTCAAACACACATCAGGCCACGACGCACAGCCTTTTCATGATTTGGACTTGAAGCTTGTTCACAATGACTCAGACTTTGTCCAGAAAGTCTTGAAAGCTGCCGAGAATTCATCAGATTTTTGACTAAATGACTTCAAATGTCCAAAATGAATCCTGGTTGTTCAGCGAAGTCCAGGAACGGTCCAACACCACCTGGAACCTGTTCAAGACCATTCAAAATTGTCCAAAATGACAACAATGAATAATTAGTCGTCCTTGAAAATGGAAAAAAGTAGAACAACCTCCAACCAGAGGGCTGCAAGGTGGTGCAGTTGGTAGCACTGTTGCCTCGCAGCAAGAAGGTTGCCGGTTCGCATCCCGGTGGGGGCACCGGGATCTTTCTGCGTGGAGTTTGCATGTTCTCCCCGTGCAGCGTGGGTTCTCTCCGGGTTCTCCGGCTTCCTCCCACAAGGTCCAAAAACATNGAGATCCTGGAGCCAACATGGCCGACACGGTTCCACAGACGTCACGACATCCTGAAGACGTTTCAGCGTTCATGATTTAAACTAGCTTCCTCTCCGTTCTGAGGAAACGCTGCCTGAGCTCCGACAGCTTCGTGTTCGCACCGAGGAGGGACGAACTCGTTCTTACAGAATCGATTCTGATTAAATGTAGTTTTGAGCTGAGATGTTCTGTTTTCTGACACAAACCTGATGAAGCCTTTTGGTTTTATCGTTTCTGTTTGGGTGGTTTCTAAAAGAAAAACAACTCTGGACCCTGGTGGGTTCAGAGGATGAAAGTCTGGAGGTTTGTTAATTAAAACGGTTTGTTCCGTCCAGATGTTTATTCTGTGGTTTGTTCCGTCCAGATGTTTGTTCTGTCCAGATGTTTGTTCCGTGGTTTGTTCCATCCAGATGTTTCTTCTGTCCAGATGTTTGTTCCGTGGTTTGTTCCATCCAGATGTTTGTTCCATCCAGATGTTTCTTCTGTCCAGATGTTTGTTCCGTGGTTTGTTCTGTCCAGATGTTTGTTCTGTGGTTTGTTCTATCCAGATGTTTGTTCCATCCAGATGTTTGTTCTGTGGTTTGTTCCATCCAGAT